CGTTTCGATATCCTGCAAAACTGGAATTTTTGATCTTATGGTTCTACCATACAGCAGCTCTGTTGGCGTACGTCCAGTGGTCGAATGTGGAGTAGTATAATACATGACCAGATATTCTTGAAGATCGTGTCGCCAATCCCTTCCAAGAGCATTGCTGATCTGCAGTCGTTTGAGCAGCGACCTATTTTGCCTCTCCACCAGACCATTCTCCTGTGGCCAGTACGGGGTGGAGTGATTTAGGTGGATACCATGTGTTCGACTGTACTCTTCAAGCTCGGTTCCAACGAATTGCTTCGCGTTGTCTAGTGTCATAGTCCTTGGGTAGCCCAACCGTGTAAAAATTTTATCGAGTCTTGCTACCGTGTCCTTAGCTGTTATCTTCTGCATAATCTCCACCTCTTTGTAACGACTGTAGTAGTCGATTACTACAAGCAAGTATACCCCGCTTGGCATGGGTCCAAGGAAATCGATGGCTATGTCGACCCATGGTTTACAGGGCAACTGCCGACGTGACATCGGTTCAGCTCTGTTTGGCATCTCAACTAGACGACAACCTTCACAATTAAGGACTCGATTTGAAACTTCGCGATCCATTCCAGGCCACCAAACTCGATCTCGAAGACGACGTTTCATGACCGATTGGCCAGGATGACCTTCATGAGCCAAGTCCAACATTCTTGGTCGCAGTTTCGCCGGAACGACAAGTTTATCTCCTCGGACAAGCAGATCTCCAATCAAACCCAGCTCCTCTCTAAACGGGCATCCGCAATCACGCGTGTACGTAGGGAGTTGTCGAAAAAACGAAGAAGTTGGATATTGGAAATCATTTCTTTCAATTTGAAGAATGACTCCTGTTGAACTTGATCCCAGACAAATTTAACTCCCGAGTGCGTTAGCTCACGTAATGGAGCTGTGATGGTGGCAAGGTTTGGTAGAAAACGGCCAATGTAGGTTACCAGACCCAAGAAGCTTCGTAATTCTTCCGGGTTGGAAGGAGCACGAAACTTGGTCAAAGCTTCGACTTTGCTGCTTGAAGGTTGGATGCCTTCCGATGAAATTGTGTGCCCTAAGAAATCCAGCTTGGAAACCTTGAACACGCATTTGTCTGTGTTCAACAACACTCCATGTTCCTTTAGCGTGGAAAGAACTGATTCAAGGGCTTCATCGTGATCCAGCTCCGTTTCTCCAAAAACCAGGATATCGTCGATGAAGTTCACAGCATTTTTTCTGCACCGACTAAGAATCTGCTCAAGAATACGCTGGAAAATTTCCGGAGCTATCACTATTCCATACATTAGACGTTTGTAGCGGAAAAGACCCATATGCGTGATGAATGTAGTTATATAACGACTGCTTTCATCCAATTACACTTGGTGGAATGCCTCTTTGACGTCAAGCCGACTGAAAAACTTCGCGGATGTGAATCTTGGTAGGAAATCTTCAATTGTAGGCATCAAGTGTCTCTCCCGTAGGATTGCGGCATTCGCCCTACGCATGTCTACACACAAGCGAAGGTCTCCATTATCTTTCACCACCGTGACTAATGGAGAGACCCATTAACATCCGCCTTCCACGGGCTCAATGATGTCGTTCACCAACAAGGCATTCAATTTTTCCTCGATCCTGGACATAAGAGCAATAGGTGGTCGCCGGGGGTGTTGACAAATCGGCTTTACCGATTTATCTATAGGAATACCAACCTTTATCCCTCTGATTTTCGGGAAAGGGCGCTTCGCATTAACATCCAACATTGCGACTCTGTGGGTGCTGGGTAAACCGATAAACAAAACACCCAACTCTTGTTCAGTCGTTCGGCCAAGCAAGCATTGTTGTCCTCCTTTTACCACGTAAAACGTGGTATCATTTCCCAAAACGTTACCTGCATCTTCAATCTCTACACATACTTGAAATTTCCCTAGCACCGTCAGAGGTTCAGATTGCTCTCCGTAAGGCAGGAAAACTTCATCACAGTGCTTTTGTTGATTCCATACCTTGATACCATTGGCTTTCAAATAGTCCCACGATTTCTGATCGATAATGTTCTTTTTGCATCCTGAGTCGACTAATGCTTGTACCAAAACTCCTCCTACCTTTAGCCACAACAGCTCATCTCTATCACTGATGTTGAAAATGAAGTTTTTCCTGTCTACCGTGTTGTCCTTTCGATCATCGCTTGGTCGAACTTCGATTTCACGAACACGCTCAGTTCTGAAACGTTTACTACTTCCTGCTGATTTCTCAAACTTACGCTTAGTTGGGAAAACAGTGCGGCATTGACTGGCAAAATGTCCAATGCGTCGACATTTGTTGCATTCTTTTCCCTGTGCCGGACAGGAAATGTCGTTTCCGAAATGACCTTTCCGTCCGCATCGTCTGCATTCCTTGCTGTTTGCATGCTGAATCTTATTGATACTGTTCGATGGCTCGTAAGACGGCAGAGTACTACCATAGTTTGCCGTAGGATTACTCATAGACCGCGCTTGTTGTTTAACCGATTCATATGAAATCATCATACATCACATCGTCCAAACTTAAAGAATCTCGTTGAAGTAGTTGCTCCTCCAAATCGTTTGGTGCGAAGAGAATCACTTTGTCAATCACGCTAATGGACTTGCTTTCTTCTGCCCTTCTCCCAAAACTACACTTGCTGGTTTGGTCCTGACATCGCAACATGAACTTTTCGAGCGTTTCATCGGGATTAGGTTTCATCAACCAAAACAGGTTACGTTCGAATGTGTCATGTTGTTTGGGTGAAAAATACGAATCCAATTTTTCAATCGCAACCGCGTATGGATCGATCGTTTTTTCCTCATCTTCACACACGTCTGCTCCTGGAATCGACGCAAATACTTCCTGCAGTTCAGGTCCACCCTTTGCCAGCAGAATATTTCGAATACGTGTCTTGTCAGTCTCGTTAGTGGCCGCTATTATGTAGCCGAAATTCCGCTTGTATTTCGTCCACTCATCACGAACAGTATTTCTCGGCAACGACTTGAATTTGAACTGTGGAATGTCCCACTTCTCCATACCGATGTCAGGCACAATTTCCTATAATATTATACTTAATCACATAACTGTTTCGCTTTAAAAAAAAGTCACGCAATCTTGATTTGTCAATTTCTCTACTTCCGATGGCCAGCGAATCACTAGCCTTTTCCACTTATCGAACCGCTCCTGAAGCCGCTATCGAAATAGCCTTGATCGCTTGTACCGCTCCCGTGAGAGCTTCTACCTTCGTGGTAGATTCGTCCTCTTCAGAGCTGCCCCTTCCGAAATGGCTTACGCACTCGTTGCTTTGCAGCTGCTACTCACCGGTAGCCTTCACTGATCACACCGGATCGCACGTATCGCTGTTCTTCTGACAGCTACTACCCTTTGGTAGTTTCGAATTTTCACGCTGCCCTTCTGGCAGCTGCTATTCCTTGATAGCTTCCAACGACACCGCTGCAACCTCCGGCAGCTGCTACTATCACGTAGTATAGTTTTTCCTTTGAATCATAAAAAAAATAAATGAATCACGGTTCACATAACCTCAATCTTTCAGTGGGACTTTTTTTTACGTAAAGTTTTCCTAATTATCGTTTAAATTATCTTACCTTTATTTCCTTCGTCAAATGGATTGTCCTACGTCGCCAAATGTGGTATTGCAGTCGGATTTAACAATAATTAAACAATTAGATTTCCAGAAACAAATCAGAACGTTTTATTTACTTTTCTCTGCTTGCACGCTCTCTGCATAATAACAAACCCCACATCCACTGACAGCACATCCCAGGGCCGTACTCCCGGGTACGATTCAACTCACGCTTTCACAGAGTCGTACTCCAACACCACACTCAGGACCACTTTTTGAGGATAATTAGTTATTAATTGATCTCGAAAGCATTAAGTTCATATCAGAAATCAATCAACTGCCTTCAGGGCAACAGCCAATTCTTCACGCAAAGCACATCAATGTTGCCTGCAGAGCATATGATGGAGCATGTCAGAAGAATATCATCTTCATAATTAATAAATAGCTAACTATCCTGACGATCAATTAAAATTTGCAGATCAGTTGTAGACTGTGAAAATGTCTTATAAGTACAGATAGCAAGTTTGTTCATATATCATTATAGTGAAAGGTTAAGACGAGGTAAACAACAAGTTTACTTTTCTCATAGTATTTCCCGTAAAATCTTCAAAGGGCCATTGCATTATAATATCGCACCCAAATGAGCTCAAATTTTGGGAGAATGATCTGAACCTGATTTTAAATCGATTAGCGGGGCAACAAAATTTATATTTTGAATGACCGTAGAACCACCTCTACATTTCTCTTAAAAATTCCAACATATAATAAGTTTTTTTTAATCCGATCGTATCAAGACACTCCATCTACAAATCAATTCAAAGCGCTATTGTTTTTATTTTTTTTTTCATTTTTCACTTCTACAAACATCACACCCCAGCCAATTTATATAATGAAATTAAATCAATCAATCATCATGCGACGACTATTTGCATTATTTGCACTGTCGACAATGAGCAAAATTTGCATAACAGAACGTCACACACATCAGTACCCACCACTGGTCCCAAAATGGAATCATTTATTGCGAGTCTGTCTCTGTAGATTCTAAAATGAAGCCAAAATTGAAGTAGGAGCAATTTATTCTCGCACTTTTTTTCCAATTGTTTTGCTGCTGTGCATTTATCCAAAATGAATAATAGCATCAAATCAAAATAGATGTGAAGCTGATTGGTTCGATGCGGTCGCAGAGGTGGGAGAGAGACGCGGCCATATTTCAAATTGCATCTGTGTATAAATTAGCACAAACATTAGCGACTGGTACAAAACAGAAAAAGAAGAACTAAATTGTGCATTTGGTGAATGCAAATGCAAACAGTGCGACGTTCCAAAAGAGACACCATCCGCGTGGGCGGCTGCTGCTGTGACTGCATGACTGATGGTTTTAATAGCTGCTTTGATGTGATCCTTTGATTGAAAGACAGGTTAGTTTCACAAATAATCAGATTCATCATTTATTCTAAATTGTACTTATGCAACGAGTCATTAAAATTACAAATATCTTGGAGCTTCACTTGTATGGCAAATGTGTAACAATTGTCTCTTAAAAGAAATGAGATTTAAACCGAAAACATACATAAGCTACTCCACTAGAAACAATGTCCATCTTAACAACTATTCGACACATTAAAAACTGATCATAAATCTTACTACTCAGTCGATTGGAATTTGTTGGTAAACTGCGTTTTGTCTTTTGGCTATTCAATTTTGACTATGTTTCCGAGCTTCCTGCCAGGCATTAGAACTTGCCCTTGCCGCTGGTCACGGTTGCATGCGCTTCGGTACTGAACCGGCTGTAGCTTCCATTTCCCTGCAGGAAGTAGATGGGATCCTTGATCTTGTTGATGTCGTATCCCTCCAGTTGAAGGTCTCGTTTCTTCAGCTTGAATGTGGTCGTCATGGGCACCTCGGAGAGCACCCGAATGAACAGCGGACGCGCGTACGGCGGTAGACTTCCGCGGATTCCGGCCCCAAGCTGTTCCAGATCCAGTTTTCCCTCTGAGTCGACGATTGCGGCCATTCCCGCTTTGCCCTCCGTTCCGGGGATCTGCAAGAATGTTTTTCAGGTTGCATAATAATTTAATAAAATATGTAAGTCATTAAACCTACATCGACTCCATAGACGGCACAATCTTTCAATCCAACGATATTGGTAATGACACCTTCAACCTCCGAAGTAGCTACATTCTCACCACGCCATCTGAAAAAATTGCATGGTTTCCATTGATTAGAATTATTAACATAAATGTTGCCGAAGCTGGATTAAAAGATATTTGAAATATGATCATTAGACTGATGCAAAATTTGAAATTTTCGCTCCACAGTGCTCAAACGGTTCTAAATTGGGCCCTGATTTGCCTCCGAAAGTTTACTTTCATTTGATAAGAAGCTGACTTGGCACAAACCATTTGAAGTTTATATGGAAATTACTATAGGAAAACCAAACTTTTTGTTTATTGTCTACTAGCCTTTTTACATATTGTACTGTTAACAAATTCAATTGCTATTCTTATGGGAATTTTTATCAGCTACAACTTTGCAGAAAATCGTTTTTCAGCCAAGCGTCAAACTAAATAGTTATTAATTGTTTAAGAGATTGATAATCTTATGGCAAGATTAAGCAACTGTATTGAAGGCAACACTGTATTCTGCAGCCATGATTTTTGTCCTCCATTCTACGCGCCAGAAACACAAATGTTGCCTGCTGAACAATTGATTGAGCATAATCATAAGACATCAGTGACTTGAATCCTTAATAATTTTTGTTCCTTACATTTGACCGAAAAGTGGTCTTCAACAAAGTTGTAGCTGAGGAAATTTTCAACAAGCGCAGCTATTATTTTTTTAATAGAGTGAACTGGTGAAGATAAATATGAACCGAAATTATGGTTTCTCCATTGTAATTCCCATATAAACTTCAAATGGTTTGTGCCAAGTCAGTTTCTCACTAAATTAGTTCAAATTTTGGGAGGCTAATCAGGGCACAATTTGGAACCATTTGAGCACTGTGGAGTAACAATTTCAAATTTTGCATCAGTCTAATGATCATAGGGGTGGGTCAAGTATTTATGGCGGATCATAACCCCCAGGTTCTCACTCTTTTTTTGATATTTATTAGGGTCTTCAACAACTGTACAACTTTAAATCTAAATTTTTGGGAAAAAGAAAATGCCAAAATTTACATCCCGAATCCCGGGAAATAAATTTATAAATCCCGGAATTGCGTGCATCCGAGGATTTTTAATTTGAGACTCTTTTACTCCTTTAAATCTTTCTTGGAATATCTGTAGCAGGACTTGAATCCGGAACTTTTACAAATTATGAAATTTATCTCTTCCCTTCGTTTGCCATTTATTCTGATTTATCGAAAGTATTGCACACAGTCTTCACTTTTTGTCTATAGGGTCGTTGTACACGAAGTACTCGTGAAAAATACGATTAGCAGTGAAATAAACCGTGAACATGTTGATCAAATTTTGTAATCGCGTATTTATTTATTTATTTTTTCTTCATCTCAAATTTATAAAAAGTTACAAACTTACAAACTTGGACAAATTAAAATCAAAGACAGCACTAACATTGGTGAACGCCCTAGCACAATTATCAATTTGGTTTGGTTTATCCGTACGTGGTTCTATGCCGCCTAACTAAAAATAAATCTCGTTCACGAAGCTGTCGCGAAGGTGCACAAAAGTTAATATTCTGCAGCAGTGAACGGCAATCCAGGTTACTCTTAACAAGATCGAATACAAATAACCTCTGAAGTTTAGTGCGTCTATGAGCTAGAGTTTCCATGTCTATAAGTCTGTAACGGCTTCAATAGTCAGACATATTTACTGGATCATTCAACGGAAGTTGTCAAAGAGCATAACGTATAAAGCTACGTTGAACCCTTTCCATTCTGATGATCTGCTGTGCATGATATGACGACCATACACTAACAATATATTCCATAATGCTGCGAACAATTGAACAGTACAGTGCCTTGAGAGCTAGATGGTACATAGACGAAAATCAGGTTAAACGTCGTGAGATGTCCATCATTCAAAGTTGATCGAAAAACCATTGAAATGCATTGTTAAGACGGTTGGAAGTACGTTATGAAGCTAGTCTCGACTGTTGAAAAGACACAGTAGAGTACGGCAGTATGAAAATTGAATAGAAGTTGAAAATGAGCGAAGGGCCATTAATGCGACAGTTTTTCAAGATAGACGCACATTTTTGCCTAACCCGTACGATGTACGCGGGGACTTGAAGTATGTCTCCAACCACCCTGCACGCAACAACCACCCTACTGCTTTCTCTCTGAGATGATCACGTTGGTCATGACGAGAGGGGGAACACAATAGTTGGGTAAAGAAGAACTGCATTATAACACACCATCGACTGGAAATGCTCTCGCAACGTGGGGCTTTAGGTAGTGATGAAAACGTCGCTAGAACTATTCCACAGCCACAGTCAGTTTATGAGCAAAAAGAGGGACGCACATTTTTGCCTGTGGACTTGGAGACAACTTCAGTTTTCCCTCTGAGTCGACGATTGCGGCCATTCCCGCTTTGCCCTCCGTTCCGGGGATCTGCAAGAATGTTTTTCAGGTTGCATAATAATTTAATAAAATATGTAAGTCATTAAACCTACATCGACTCCATAGACGGCACAATCTTTCAATCCAACGATATTGGTAATGACACCTTCAACCTCCGAAGTAGCTACATTCTCACCACGCCATCTGAAAAAATTGCATGGTTTCCATTGATTAGAATTATTAACATAAATGTTGCCGAAGCTGGATTAAAAGATATTTGAACTATGATCATTAGACTGATGCAAAATTTGAAATTTTCGCTCCACAGTGCTCAAACGGTTCTAAATTGGGCCCTGATTTGCCTCCGAAAGTTTAATTTCATTTGATAAGAAGCTGACTTGGCACAAACCATTTGAAGTTTATATAGAAATTACTATAGGAAAACCAAGCTTTTTGTTTATTGTCTTCTAGCCTTTTTACATATTGTACTGTTAACAAATTCAATTGCTATTCTTATGGGAATTTTTATCAGCTACAACTTTGCAGAAAATCGTTTTTCAGCCAAGCGTCAAACTAAATAGTTATTAATTGTTTAAGAGATTGATAATCTTATGGCAAGATTAAGCAACTGTATTGAAGGCAACACTGTATTCTGCAGTGTGACATAGTAGCCATGATTTTTGTCCTCTATTCTACGCGCCAGAAACACCAATGTTGCCTGCTGAACAATTGATTGAGCATAATCATAAGACATCAGTGACTTGAATCCTTAATAATTTGTGTTCCTTACATTTGACCGAAAAGTGGTCTTGTACAAAGTTGTAGCTGAGGAAATTTTCAACAAGCGCAGCTAGGGGAATTTACGTATTCTCGGCAACCTAAGCAGCGACCTTCTTTCTATAGCCTTTTTCTCTATGGAACGCACACATATGCAGTATTGGTTTGTTTACAATCTTTTGCTGCCAGCTGCTCTAACAATTGCAGTCGAAAGAATTGTCAAAAACTGTTTTGAAACGCTTTTACAAAGCTCCAATCTTCTCTAGTGAGAGCGAGTATTGTCGGCAACCAGTTTTTCTTCGGCAACCGTTCCATTTGAACTGCATGTAAATCTGCTGTTCTATTATCGGCAACTCGAAATCAGCTACAATTTGCAGGGCGTGTGTTTCATTTCAAGAAAACCTTGCTAGATTGCTTTTTCTCAGTGGTAAAAATATAGTCAAATTGCAGCTGAAAGCATAAAGAATCGTTTGCATGCATTCAGCGAAGTGTTTTCGTAAGAAAATCCAGTGAAAATAGTGTTTCAATTTGGAACCATTTGAGCACTGTGGAGTAACAATTTCAAATTTTGCATCAGTCTAATGATCATAGGGGTGGGTCAAGTATTTATGGCGGATCATAACCCCCAGGTTCTCACTCTTTTTTTGATATTTATTAGGGTCTTCAACAACTGTACAACTTTAAATCTAAATTTTTGGGAAAAAGAAAATGCCAAAATTTACATCCCGAATCCCGGGAAATAAATTTATAAATCCCGGAATTGCGTGCATCCGAGGATTTTTAATTTGAGACTCTTTTACTCCTTTAAATCTTTCTTGGAATATCTGTAGCAGGACTTGAATCCGGAACTTTTACAAATTATGAAATTTATCTCTTCCCTTCGTTTGCCATTTATTCTGATTTATCGAAAGTATTGCACACAGTCTTCACTTTTTGTCTATAGGGTCGTTGTACACGAAGTACTCGTGAAAAATACGATTAGCAGTGAAATAAACCGTGAACATGTTGATCAAATTTTGTAATCGCGTATTTATTTATTTATTTTTTCTTCATCTCAAATTTATAAAAAGTTACAAACTTACAAACTTGGACAAATTAAAATCAAAGACAGCACTAACATTGGTGAACGCCCTAGCACAATTATCAATTTGGTTTGGTTTATCCGTACGTGGTTCTATGCCGCCTAACTAAAAATAAATCTCGTTCACGAAGCTGTCGCGAAGGTGCACAAAAGTTAATATTCTGCAGCAGTGAACGGCAATCCAGGTTACTCTTAACAAGATCGAATACAAATAACCTCTGAAGTTTAGTGCGTCTATGAGCTAGAGTTTCCATGTCTATAAGTCTGTAACGGCTTCAATAGTCAGACATATTTACTGGATCATTCAACGGAAGTTGTCAAAGAGCATAACGTATAAAGCTACGTTGAACCCTTTCCATTCTGATGATCTGCTGTGCATGATATGACGACCATACACTAACAATATATTCCATAATGCTGCGAACAATTGAACAGTACAGTGCCTTGAGAGCTAGATGGTACATAGACGAAAATCAGGTTAAACGTCGTGAGATGTCCATCATTCAAAGTTGATCGAAAAACCATTGAAATGCATTGTTAAGACGGTTGGAAGTACGTTATGAAGCTAGTCTCGACTGTTGAAAAGACACAGTATTTGCAGTTTTTAGAGTCGTCTGTGTTTTCACTGCAGATGCACTCGAGAGCGCTCTCAAGTGCACCTTCAGTGAAAACACAGGGTGTGGCTCTACGGTGCGGCGATTTTTTATTTTGTGATAAGGAGATTAATAGCACTATACTATCTTTTTTAAGAGTTGGTAGGAAATGCTAACATGAAGCTTTAGTGTGATGATTTATTAGCTAGAGAATGATCTTTAGAAGAGGGTAGGTGGATAGTTCCGTTAGAGTACGGCAGTATGAAAATTGAATAGAAGTTGAAAATGAGCGAAGGGCCATTAATGCGACAGTTTTTCAAGATAGACGCACATTTTTGCCTAACCCGTACGATGTACGCGGGGACTTGAAGTATGTCTCCAACCACCCTGCACGCAACAACCACCCTACTGCTTTCTCTCTGAGATGATCACGTTGGTCATGACGAGAGGGGGAACACAATAGTTGGGTAAAGAAGAACTGCATTATAACACACCATCGACTGGAAATGCTCTCGCAACGTGGGGCTTTAGGTAGTGATGAAAACGTCGCTAGAACTATTCCACAGCCACAGTCAGTTTATGAGCAAAAAGAGGGACGCACATTTTTGCCTGTGGACTTGGAGACATACTTCAAGTCCCCGCGTACATCGTACGGGTTAGGCAAAAATGTGCGTCTATCTTGAAAAACTGTCGCATTAATGGCCCTTCGCTCATTTTCAACTTCTATTCAATTTTCATACTGCCGTACTCTAACGGAACTATCCACCTACCCTCTTCTAAAGATCATTCTCTAGCTAATAAATCATCACACTAAACCTTCATGTTAGCATTTCCAACCAACTCTGAAAATCGTTAACTTCGCGTATGAAGTAACATAAAAAACACTTTGAATGTATCTTTTTTTTAAGCTGGGTTAACGGAAAATTCAATTGGATTTAACGTCAGCATTCTATATTAAAAAGTCCTGAAAAAGTTCAAAAAAAGCGATCAATCCCTGTCCGTTAGTATGTAATCTATGTAATCATAAAGCACGGTAAAATAGTTTTTACAAATACATCAGAAATCATCCACCACAATCATCATGATCTGCATGGACTATTGTGAAGTTTGGCTGACAAACATAACATCTCGTCACATCAGGGAACTTATTAGAAGTCAAGTACCATTTATTTGATATAAGAGAACTTCATAGTAGTTCGTGGAACTTCGTAAAAGTTCAGGGACTGTTAAAGATCTTCAGGATACTTCGTAGAATTTTAAACAACTTCGTGGAAGTTTAGAGAACTACGTTCATATTATGCAGCAAATAAAAGTTCAGTTAACTCAGCGAACTTTATACAACTTCCGTGAACTTCGTAGAAGTGCAGAGAATTTGGCTGAACTTCATCGACAACGTCAGAACTTTAGAGAAATTTCGAGAATCTTGTAGAAACTCGGAGAGCTTCCTTGATGTCAGGAACCGTTCCTATAATTTCATCGAACTTCGTAAGTTTCAGCAACTTTGTCGACGTTCAGGGGACAGCGTAGCAATTCAGGAAATTTAAACGAAATCCGGAGATATTACTTACTCGGCTAATAGCGAAAGAGAAAAAGGCGACTTGTTTGCTCGTCATTTCAGGCAAGTGTTCCACGATTTCTCCGCTTCGCCGGCACAAGTGCTGGATGCTACTGTTGGGATGCCACGTGATGTGTTTAGTTTCGATATTCCGCACATTTCATAAGACATGGTGATAGCCGCAACACGCAAACTGGAGCTCTCGTTCGCCGCCGGACCTGACGGCATTCCGTCATCAGTTCTAAAAGGTTGTGTAGCCAATCTCTGCCTTCCACTTGCGAGGCTATTCAATCTCTCGACACAGCAATGTGAGTTCCCTTCCGCTGGAAACTTCCATATCTGTTCCCAGTCTACAAAAAGGGAGATAAACGGAATGTCACAAATTACCGTGGAATCACCTCCCTGTGTGTCTGCTCAAAACTGTTCGAGATTATCATAAATGATGCTCTGTTCGCTTGTTGCAAAAATTATATCGATACAGAACAACACGGCTTATACCCGAAGCGCTCCGTGTCCACGAACCTGGTGCAGTTTACTTCTAACTGTTTGTGATGCATGGATTCAGGATGGCAAGTCGATGCTGCGTATATGGATCTAAAAGCTGCATTTAACACGGTGGACCATACCCAACAAACAATTTTAGCTGCAGCTTACCTTATACAAGAAAAAATTAGCTGCATAAGGCAAATTTTGGCTGTATAAGCTAATCTGCAGCTAAAATTGTTTGTTGGGTAATATCTTGCTTGCCAAGCTGGAGATACTTGGCGTCTCGTCAACGACTGTGGATTGGTTCATATCTTACTTGGTGAATCGCTATGTACGGGTTAAGATTGGCGCGTCGGAATCGGATGTTTTCCCAAACAACGCGGAAGTTCCGCAAGGCAGTAACCTAGGACCGCTACTATTTTCGATCTTTTTAAACGACGTTGCATTTCTGATCAGGATGCCGCGTTTTCTATGCAGACGATACGAAAATCTACAAAATTATTAAAAGTCTCTCGGACTGTTGGGATCTCCAGAATATGTTAGGTTTTTGGTTAGGTTAATTTTTGCTGACTGGTGCTCAATAAATTTGATGAGTCTAAGCATGTAATGTAACATTATTTCCTATCACCGAAAAACCGAACCAATCATGTTTGACTATGTTCTCTACGGACGCTGCCTTGCTCGTGTAGAGCACATAAAGGATCTCGGCGCT